TTCACGCTGGGGTCTGTGTTGTGTTCTAGATCATGATCAAATTCCTCGTCGGTTATTTCTGCAACACGTTTATTCACATCTAGACCTGCATCCTGAAAAGACACATAAAAAATGGGTGATTTTAATTTAGATCGAGAGTCTATGCATTTTAATACGGCTCTCATGAAGTTGGCACACGATTTATACAGAAGCCCTGCTGTATATCATCATCGTGTTGTTTTTGATTGGTATTATAATGATTATATATATACAAATATAAGATATGTGGCAGTGATTTACGATGAAATACTCGATCCTCAATGGTATCGTCGTTACACATATTTTTGCATAAGTCGTAGACCTATATCAATGTCGAGACAATATTTTAGTCTACGTTTTTGGCAGAGTTATTTTATCAATTTTATTACGATACAACCCGTAATACCCTTTGATGATGAGGCGACTAGTCGAGCGATTGAAGATATATTAAAACAAGACGATTCGCAATGTTCTACCATGGATGTTGTGCGTAAAATTTTATGTCAAACACAAGTATTGGTAACGCCCGTATTTGTGGCATTATCACGTCACTCGCGCAGGGAAGCGATTAGACTTCATATGGCTGTATAGCGCTATGGACGCGTTAGAACGTTTTGATTATGCTCTTATAGAATTATTGCGTACGATGATCGGGTATGCATTTTACCAGCGTCCGCAGATATTCGAGTGGTATTACGATGATTGCCTGTACACACAAATAAGATATATAGCAGTAATACACGACCGTATACGTTTTCCTAAATGGTTACATGACTACGAGTTTTGGGCAATAAGTCGTGGGCCTAAGATACAAGTGCGTCGTTTTTTTCAATTGCGTTTTTGGTTAGAAAGTTGGTTAACATTTACGCAAGATAGTGAGCGTATTTTTGACGGTGATGAACAATATGAAATTGAAGAAATTCTTAAACAGGACGATTGTAGTTTGACGGTTGTGGAGATGATACGTTATATTTTACAGAAAACACACGTTTTAATCTCTCCTCAATTTGTAACACTAGCAAGATGAGCACAAGCGTCTAAAGTAAAAAAGTTATCATTTACAAATATAATTTCGGGGTCTACAGAAGCAATTCAAGCGGGTATGCGTGCGGGAATAGTGGACGAGTATTGAGGAAAAAAAAGATACGTACCGTTGTGATTTTAATATTGTTATTTGGAGCTACGGCACCCATTTCAACGGGTTCGTGGACACAAGATGTAAAGAAAACTAAATATCCTCGAGGTAGAGAAGATTGATGTGCACGAGGAACGGCCATAATTTTACACGGGTTTTTTCCACGGACACGTAGATAGATGAATGTTAATTTTTGATCGAATAGCTTTAAACAATCGACATTTGTTGCTACAGCCATTTTTTTTTTAACACTGCGAAAGATACGTTTGTAGGCAAGCTTTATATAGACAAGTTTTGAGCGGAAGTGTAAATATTTTTTATAAAAATACATACCATTTTAATTTTAATACATTTGTCTGTGGGTATATGTCCTGTTATGACGGGGAAGTGGATGTCGTTGAGAAAAAATATTAAATATCCTTTGGGTAAAGCGGTTACGAGGCTTGTGTGAGGAACACACATAATTCCATACTGTTTTTCTCCTTTGATACGTAGATAGATAAACGTTAGTTTTTGTACTTTTGGATTTAGGCAGGAGGTTTTTGTTTTTATTTCAAGCGGTGTCTTTGTGTTATCGCTAATATGAGTGAGTCCCACTGTAAAATCCATGATGTGAGTGATATACGTGTACGCATACAAAGTTTTATAAACAATTTAAAGCGGAAGTATTATGTTAAACAATTTTTAATATGATGTTGCCAGTGTTGTTGAAGATTACAGCTGTGAAAATCGTCCGTATTACATATTTTACAATCGCTTGTGGTATATAAAACTAATACTTTTTCTTTATTTTGTTCTTTATATTCTTTTTGTTCTTGATCATTTAATGTAATTATATAGGGTACTACTTTTTGATTAACATTGCATCGTGTACAAAATAGATCGCGATGCGTTCTAAGATAAATCTCTTGTATACATAGTCGTGAAAGTTTATTCATATTTTCATGGGCTTATTATCTGATATTTTTAAAAGTTCAATGTCGTCGTTTCTTTTTTCTTGAAATAACTCTTCGAAGGTAATTTCTTGTATAAGATCATAGATCCAACGTCGTTTGTTTGCATTGATCTAAAAAAGATAAGAGAATTTAATATTTTGGGGTATAAAGGAAAAAAAAAAAATTTTCTATATAATTGTTTTTACCGTTTGGACGCAAATAATTTTTCCAGGGTTGAATTTCAGTACTTTAACTGGTTGTGTAATGTTGCATACAGTAAAACGTATCATTGGTTTTGCACAGTGCGAAACATCGTGTTGCATAGAGGGTACTAGTACAATATTATACAAATAACTTGTGTTGTTATAATAATATAAATATTTTTTTCCATTGAAAACATTTACGTGTTTGCCAACGTGTTCCTCCATTTTGTTTTTTGTAAAAATGGGTTAGTAAATTATATAAGGTTAGTGTATTATACATTTGTATAGAAAATAAGTCGATTACCATATATGGGTAGTAGATTACCTTTTATTGCGACGAGATCACTTTAAAAATTAGTCGGTTATTTCCCTCGCATGTATATTTCGCATAATCCTCATAATAAACTTTTTTTGTTATTTTTTCCAAGAATCCATAGACGTCGCCTCGTAGAGTTATTTTGATATATCCATTTTTTTCAAGAACACCTAGCGGTTTAAAATCTACACCAGTGTATTGTGCAAAAGAGAGGTCAATCTTATGCTGTACGCTTGCATGATGAATCGAGTGAGGACCCCCTATAAAGACAGGTATATTACAATCGCTGATATTTTGAAGATAAATAGCATCACACGTCAAGCTGTCGAAATTCATGATCTCTATTCTCGCGAGAGAGTATTTAAGAAGTGAGTGAATTTGAGTATTTTCTGTTACTTTATATAGCATTCCGATGAGTAAATATATTCAAATAATTTATATAGTAATTTTGATATCATTTGTGTATGTTATTTTTTTAAGCGTGTTGTATAAATTTTTGTTAAATGGCAACTGGGAGTGTACCACCTACTCGAATATATGATGAAAAAGACGAAGACTGGTCTACACAAGCCGTGCATGGTGACGACATTGATATACACCCCCCTGAAGGTTGGACGGGTAGTTGTGAAGATCAAGTGGAATTGTTTACAGAGATCTTAGCGTATATTATCGATCGCGAAATTTGCAGACAAACTCGGGGTACTCGTAGTTTGGATTATTACAAGAAAGTGGTTCCGGAATTCATACAGTTGGGTTATTATACTCATGCGTGTCGTGAGTTTCACGATTTCTTAAATTTTTGGGAAGTCGAATACAAAGTTGAAACGGGTATAGAAGAGCTCAAGTCAAAACACGATCCTGATTTACCCGCACGATTGTATTGTTGTCGTGTATTAAGTGTACGTCCTGACGGTATAGTAAAGAAGTATAGTGAAGTATACGAAGAGTTACGAAAAAAAGAATGGGAACTTTAAATCATATGTTTCCGGATGTTTTTTTTCATACAGTTGCGGGTTTATATATGAAACAAAAACTGCACTTAGATAATGATGTAGATTTTGAGACATGGCAAAGTGTGGTACCTCAAAAATTGTTGGAACATTGGCCCGCGATACTTGAACTTTTTCATTTGCTAAATGTGCTAACTGATGTACATTACGGGTATGATTTAGAGGATGAGGGGGACGATTTAGCACATACCAGTTCGGGTATATATGTTATATTAACGCAGCATGCGGAATATTTTTTACAAGAAGATTTTGAATATTTAGAAGATTTAATAACTCAGATAGTTTTAGAACATGATATACTTGAAATAATAAGCAATATTCAATTGTAAATTTTATGTACAAGATTCTCTAGATGCAAATACGTGTTCATCTTGACTATCATTACATATTTTTAAAACTATTTGTTTTTGAGTTTTTCTCTTAGCATGTTCAATAGTAGTTTTTGCCCCGTCTATTTCTGTAATTAAACTTGCAACAGCATCTCGATATTCCTTTGATGAAAATATAGCTTTATATGTTTTACGTATAGTTTCTACGGGAACATAATTATTGCGTGTATCGAAGAATAGGTGGCGGCATTCCGACTGACATTCCCGCCATTCGGTCTCGCACTTTTCGTTCTGTTGGCACGGGGAAGGGTCGTATGTTTCTTCTTCTTTCTCGATCGTATTGTCTTCGTTCCTGTTCTCGTCGTCTTCGCTCTCGTCGTGCTTGTCTTTGTTCTCGAATTTTTGCTGCTGTTCGTTCTTTTTCTTTTCTAAAAAATCATTTTCCATTTTAATACGTAACGTCACGAGGGCACGTACCATTTCAGGGGACTCAAACGCATTTTCAAGTCTTTCATCTAGAAGTATTAAAGAATTATCCGTTTGTTTGTCGTACCTTCGTAAATAACTATTTACACCTGATAGCAATGGGTATCTGGATCGAGTAAAATCATATTTTACACGAGGTGTGGGCAAACATTTAGGTTTTTGAAGCTGCCAAGCTCCAGGGGGAATCACTGTTTTTGCGGACGATTCGGATACATCGCTCATTTCCGCACGTGCATTGTTCTGGGACGATGCGCATGTGGGTGTAACATTTGTAAATGTGCGTAGTGGTATGTGTGCTATTTACGGCGTATATATTTTAAAGGATTATTATTTCTTATTGACAGAAACGTTGACCTTTATGCGTATAACGTTAACGCGGGGGTGGTTTTGGAGCGGGGATGGCATTAGGAACAATGGCCCCGATGGTTCTAGGTACATTGGGCAAGATTTTAAAAATTAATGTATAAATAGAGTATATAACAAAAAATAAATTAATTGCAAAAAAAAATCACGTGTGTATTGTATTTATATTTCTTGCACGACAATCCATGCCATTGTACTTATCATCATGATCGGTCGAGCAGCTAAACGTGCACGAGTTGATGACAGTGGGGCGGAAGAGGTGGAAAAACATGATGGAGGGTTTGTCACACCCCTGCAAATGTTTGCCACGTTTCCTCATAATATAACATTTGAGGAAACACGTGAATTAAAACTTCTTGCCACTCCGGCATCAAGTCCTGATTCAGATATGTATACTTTTATTCACAACCGGCAAGAATATGGTGTCATGCGATTAGAGGATGCCACCATATCAGCAGAATTGCAAGTTTCAACCAATGCGGGTGGAAATCCTGGCAATACGTTTAGGGTAGCGCCCATGACACGACCCTTGGCATTTGGTTGGAAAACGAAAGAAATATACGTAAACAACGATCTGGTGAATACCACCACGACACATGAATCAGAAATTGCATATATCAATGCATTTTTGACAGAAACACCCGACGGCCGGTATGATAAACGCGATTTGTGTTTGGGGTGGTACGATACCGCGGGTCAATTTGATGACACCGTGGGCTTTCACAATGGTACTAACGTTGTGAATGTGGGGGGTCGTAGAAGAGCGAATGCTGTAAATATACACGCAAGATTTAAATGTCTTGACAAATTGGATTTGTTGGGGCATAATAAACGATTTTGTCCCACTTCTTTTGATGTTAAAGTGGAATTAACAAGATTGCCCAAACATAAATTTTTCACGGGTATCGATGCAAATGTTACGGCTGTAAAGATGAGGTATCATGATTTAACATTAACAATTCCTATGATGAAACCCGTTGCTCAATTATCCGCCGCAATTAATGAATTGATGATTCAGAATTCAGAAGAATGTAAATTTTACACTACAACCTATCGTTATGTGGGCAAACCCTTGGCTATCGGGGCTCAGAATGTTCAGGTGAATGATATTTTTAATGGTGGGCGACCTACGCGATTTATTTGTTTCCAGAAAACCCAGGCACGGTACAACGGTGATAATGCGCTAAATTTTCACAGCATGCCATTTCCCAACATCAATCATTTTCAAGTGAAAATTAACGAAGCTAATATCCCTCCGTTAATCACCAATTCGAAAGAAGCGTATTTAAATTTGATTCGTGTCTTAGATAAACGTCACAGTCAAATGCCTGTGACATATTCTGCATATCAATCTGATTTTGGCATCATCGTAGTCGATTTAACGACTAATCGAGATAGCTACAATCAGGTTCTACCCAATTCCACGGCCGGCGTAGTAAGCGTTGATATAAAATATACTGCAGCCCTACAAGCCGCACAACAATTGGTTTTTATTGGTGAGTTTAGAAATCAATTGTCCATTGGTTATAAGACAGCTGTTCGTAATAAATTTGAATTTTAAAATGGGTAAGGTCAAAAATAAACGTTGTTGTGATAGAAAAGCGGACAAAACAAAAAAATCGAACAGACTGTTAAGACCCCCAGACGGGAAAGTTATAAGTTCGTACGGTCGCTCACTACCCACGTTACACGTTCACCCGATTATTTCGCGATATGGCTGATCAAGATGATGATGTAGCACAAGTATTGGAGGAGGAGGAAGAGGAACAAGCGGGAGAGGAAATTGAAGAAAATGAATATGAAGGAGACGATGAACATGTCGAAACAAATGACGAACAAGAAGAAACCGAAGAAAATAATGTAGAAGGGGAAAAATGTAGCGAGGACGAGATGTACATCGACGATCTATGCGAAAGCGATGACGAAAAAGATGAAAAACACGCTTTAAGCGACGAATTATTTAGTAAAGTACTTAGTGATTTAATACAATTAAAATCGCGTGACGATAAGAGAAAAAAATCACATCTTATTCCGAGTGTAAACAAATTTTTAAACACGAACATTACAAAACGTTCGATTACTAAAGATGTCAAAAAAAATATGCTCAATCTTTGTCAACATATACATCGGGGAAAAATACCTGTGACTATATCAGTTGATAGTAAACGTTTTCTTGGGCATTTGTTAGATAAACGTACGCCCAAAGAAGACGTTAACGTTGCATTGAGCGAGAATTTGATAGTTCATTCGATATTACGCGAAGCTATCGATCTAATAGGTAAAAAATGAGCGATAGTGTAAGAAAATTGACGTTGGTAGACTCAGAACGTTTTAATAAGCTTATATCCACATTGCAACAAACTTTAGAACGTAAAAATATCATAGAACAAGCAACCGCTCCTAATGAGGAAGAGGATTATGTACGAAGTCACGATGATGTAATGAAAAGTGTAAAAAATAAAGATGATTTAGCAGGCATGAAAATTGTGAATTTTTTAAATAAAAGGGATAAGCTAAAGGGTGCTCAAAAAGCAACAGGGCAACTTCCTAAAGCCCCTGACGCGCCAAACCCCGCCAGTGCTACACCCGGTCAACGTCGTGCTCAACGTCCCGGCACTACAGTGGATGCTGCACACGAAAAAATTATGGAGATTTTTAAACAAGAGGGTGTGTCGCGAGGGGGTAGTGGAAATGTTATGCACAAGGGTACACGTCATAATATACCTTATACAGATCTAGTTTACGATTTAACACACAATACAACAGAAAAAACAGCCAATTTGACATCAGTAGAATCTCAACGAGCTATGCAATTGTTAAAAAAAATTAAAATGCCCGCCTCACACATTCGTAGTACACGTCTTCGGGCACAGTATATAAAAATGCTTAAAAAAACGCGAATTGCCCGAAACACCTACAACAAGCAGCGGCGAGGAGACTTCTTTTGCATCAACACCTTTTGGTCGACCCCCACCATCGAGAATACCACGACCCCTACAACAACGTCGCACAGCACCGACACCCTATATTCGTCGAGCACGTAGTACCCATTAGACACCCCGACAAGAATTGGATAGACAACTTCGTAGTTTACTTCAATAGAAAATGACTAGTTTTGCTTGTTTTGTTAGCAAATTTCTAGACACTGATCATTTAAATAATTTGGCGGGAACAAATAAAAATATTGCACCCCATTACTTGGGATGTTATCCTGCAAATATATATCCCACACCCATACGTTTGTCTTGTTGTTGGATATGGAATATCGACGAATCTGACAAACCCGGTACACATTGGGTAGCGGTTGTAAAAGATAAAAAAAAATTATTTTTTTTGACAGTTACGGTAAAACCCCATCGTTTTTTAAACGTAACTATTGGCTAAATTATTTTCGTAATACACTTCATTGTGACGTCACCTATCACAATCGTGTACAATATCAATCTTATATTAGTCGATCGTGTGGAGCGTGGTGTCTTCTATTTTTATGGAACTATTGGAGTAATAAAAAACTATTCATGCAAATGAACAAAAGGGACTTGATGGAGAACGAACAAATACTACAAACACTAGTCTATAAGATTTTCCCAAAAATTGTAAATATCTACAGGGCAAAATGTCGTAAACACAAAGGACAAGTTTGTAAATCTTTTATGCAATCATATTTAATAAAAAAATAATTATTTACATGTCTGGTGTACATTCGTAAATTGTAGTTTTTTCACCGGGTAAAATACCCGTACGAATTCGTGTATTACGATAACCTCGTGGCGAACCATCAAAACAAATATATCCATATTGGCTTTTGTTCTCTACAGATTTAATAACTCCGCGAATTTTTTTCAAACTAATTTTTTTATTCGAAGCAATCATTTCTATATTTCGAAGATCCGTGTAGTTGTTAAACATCACATGATACTGGCTATTAACACGAGCGTTTCGTAATTTACCACTTCCGTAATTTAAATCTTGACATACGAAAATAACCGACATGTTTGCATGATGACTATCGCGTGAGGCTATATTATTTAAATTCTCTGTATATTTCGTATCGGACGCTGCTAAAATCATCAAATCGTCAAGAACTAAAAGTGTAGCGTTGCCCAATTTATTTTTTAGTTCACTAGTGGTGGGAATACCCAATGCACTGCAATCCACAAACTCGAATGTTTTTAATTTCGATTTTGCACTGTTCCTACGTATTACGTCTTTAATATCGTCGTATTTCGTTTGGTCTGTACTGTACAGATAGACAAGTTTATCGGGTGTGGGTTTAATCACCTCGTCGATGTTCGTTATTATTTTCTTGATGAACTCTGTTTTTCCACATTGTGTGGGGCCACACATGGTGAGCATAAACGGGTGGTGAAAGGGTAACGTGGCATGATCAATGCATTTTTCCTGAGAAAAAAAAAATACAGAAACTCATAATCCGTAGCCGAAAGGAAGTGTTGTAAAATCATCACGCACGATACGTTTATCGAATGTAAAATGAAAAGTTTTTTCTTTATTTTCCACCGCAATCGTTTGACTATTACACCGAGCAAATTCACGATAGACAACCGTAATTTCCCGACTGTGATCACGAACACAACTCGAGATCGCATCGAAAGTTATTTTTTTTTTAGCATCGCCCTGTAAACGAAAACCCTTAACGTGTGTCACCTCATCGACACGTTCCTCGCGTGTACCATCCTCTAACGTTTTAATATACCTATTTGTACGATACGAATAAGATTTTGGACCTGCTGCACAAAATTCCGTAATCCATTTTTCCGTACAATTTTTCTCACTTAACTCATCGGTCAATTGCCCCAAATATTTACCCGTTTCTAAATATTTTCCCCGTGCTCGATCTTCCCTGTAAATAACCGAATCTGTATCATAATATAAAACATTCTCCTGTAGTTTGTCAAGTACTGAAAATAATTCTAAACGTGCATATGCGGTTACAAACGAAGCGATTACTACATTACGATTTCCCAACGTTGTTAAAGCACCTGATATTTTTCGATGAGTTGTACGTGCAATATTATCGCTTATAAAATCCAGCGAGGTCACCTCAATGGTTTTATCATTTACCAATTGTAACAAATCATCAAAATCATCGAGAAATGACACCACGGTAGTGTCTTCATTCTGTGCTAATTTCCCCCATAACGAATTTAAAAGAGCTTTCATGACCGTACGTTGTCCGGGATTATGCTCTATTTTTGAAGCGTCTAAATAAATTTGTTCGTGATCTGCATATTCCTGTATGTATGCTTGTAATTTTACATTATCGACGCTACCATCGTCTTTTATACACTGACGTGGCATACCGCTACTTTCCTGTTTTAATTTCATGAACGTATCAACATACAAATCAAAAATTTTAGCACTATGAGGATAATGATAAACTTCATAAATAGCAAGTATTTTATAACCATGTTCAAGTGCCACGTGAACTTCTACACTCGTCCACGTACCGTACAATGCTCGTTGCTCGTCGTCGTGTGTACACTTATCACATTGATTGCGGGCGCAAGTAGTACAAAGAGCAAACGTCAATTTTTCTAACCGTATGGGTAACACAGGAAATAGCATAGTAAACGGTGCTAATATTTTACATTTAATTAATCCGAAAATTTGAGAAACATTTAATTTTGCACATTTGTCAACACCTCGCGTAATCTCCGGATGTTTTGTCGGATAGCGATATTTTTTTTGAACATACGGGTAAAGAGAAGTAAAATCGTAATAAAAAACTTTCTCTTCCGAATCCTTGACGTCATAGAATAATACCGCCGGGGACGTTCGCCCGCCAAATAATGCGTCGCGTGGATTTAAAATGATGTAGGTGAAATATTTCACTTGACCCAATTCAAGAATGTTATTTCGTGATAAACTACATTCTTGAATGTATTCGCATTCCCATTTTTCCACAACCGTGAAATGATAATCTTTAAAAAGATCAGTAATTCGTCGAGTTTTTTCACGCAGTACATAAAATCGTTGTCCGTTCACTTTGTTAATATCACCACTTTCAAAACATTCACTACAACCATGAAAAAAACAACCATGAAATTGATAAATTGTATTCGTTTCAGCACAATAACCATCCACATTATAATTTAAAATATTTTCCTCTCCTTCCGGTGACAACTTACTTCGTAACGAATAGCCCTGTGTTTCAAGATTTTCACGAATCTCCTCGAGCCAATGCAATGCTATGATGCTTTGATTAACATTTCCACCGTAACCCGTGGGTGGAATTTGACCGATAACATCTTCTTTTAAAAAATTAGCACGATATATTTTTAATGCTAAACCCGCGATGGTGTGACATGTGCGATCGTAAAATGGTAAAATTTTCGTAATATTTACGATGAGACGTGCAAATCGTACACATCCCTGCCGCAAAATATCGACGTCTAGACGACAATAATAATAAACAGCATCGCGAAATATATACGTTTTGGTTTTTTGAATTTCGTACCATTTATTAAATGCTTCCATATTCTCTTCGCGACTTAAATCGAAATACTCCAACCCCACCATGGGACCCACATAATTTAAGTCTGTAAATAAATGGGGATGATACCCTTTTGCAAGATCAGGTATATCCATGGCTTCGGGAATTTTACTCAAGGGCATGGCGAAAAATAAATAACTATCGATTACTTTAATCGAAATATCGCCGTGCCGAATTTCCATACTCATAATTTTATTACCGTTCATGACCGTATGGGGAACCACCCCCTTTTTTACTAACAATTCCCGAAGTAAAAATATATTATCAAAACGCCCCCCATTGTGCGCTATCCACACGCTATTGGTGGTTTGAGTAAACATGAAACTAATAAGTAATTCGGTAATATCCTCGTTGTTATTTTCAAAAACATACTGTCTATGCATACAACATGCTACAGGTTCAACACTATTATCGCAATGCTTGATCGTAGGATGAGGCAAAAAATTATCTTGGGATCTAACGAACTCTTTCTCGTCGCATTGACTACAAACTTTTTGTACAACAGCATAAAAAGGCACCATAAGTTTCTCGTCATTCACACGCGTTTCAAGATCGTAAAAATACAACACAGGCAATACTTCGTTAACGGGAATTTTATACGGTTTCATGTAACAAGCATGACCCTGATCCTTAATAGCATTACAATGAAGACAATAAAACTGACCGCATTTGTGTTTAACCGATTTTTTTGTACTAATTCGCGTCATACGCGGTACGATGCGATAACAAGTTTTACAAAAAAAGAAAAAACGACAGGCTGGTACATTTTTGCTATAATTGTTTTTAAAAATAGCATGCGTTAAATGTTTTGTAAAACATTCTCGATTATAAAACAGTACATGACATTCACTACATTCGATTTTAAAACCCTCTTCGCCCACGCATTTTGCTTCGTGGGCGTAACATTTTTTACATGTATTTACCGTGTGACAAACGTGGGTCGTGGCATTTTCAAAAACACGGAAGTATTTCATACATTTCATGCAAAAACGAGATCCACTATTTTTCATAAATTTTCGCGACGATAAAATCAAATCGAAATGAGCATCATTCAACCAAAGAAAAATAACATTCTCGGTAATACGATGAATATTTCCCGACGCATCTAAACGTGAATCGTAAACGATGGAATCGTGTCGAGCTTTGGAAAAAATAACCAAATCGATATTGTCCACCCGTAAATAATTCTCGTAAAACAAATGACATTGATCAACTCGCACGGAACCCTGGGGTACATTGGCGCATGCGTAAACATTGTCGATCTGTTCGTCTGTCTATAACGTCGTAAGTTCCGTGTTACGTCGTACGTTTAAAACGTCGTACTGTTTGTCTTTTTGCAAAAATGATTTTCCCACCAGCAAACTAAGGGCAAAACACTTTTTACTACTTACCACTTGAAAAACACCATTTCGCACCCCCCGCCCATGCTTATTTGCCGATGTGCGTCCGTTACCCGACTCACTAGGACTTTTACCATAGTATTTATAAATTTTAGGCTGTCTGTATTTTTTTTTATTGTTTGGAGGACGCACATACCTATTGGGAAAAATATATAGACTCACGATCGATTGCCAGCCATTGTCAATCACGGTACGGGCATTACTTTGCATATGTCGTTCGAAAATATTTAAAAACAACGCAGGTGTAAAATCACCTACATTTAAAATAGCCGTCGAAAAACTAGCCGTCGGTGCATTCGAAATATAAAAACGTGCTTTATCTGTAGGCGAACTAGCATTAAAGTTCATTACATTTATGAGATATTTAAAAACAGTATTCATACTTTGTAAAAAATCCGGTAAACTACTCGTATTATTACGACCCACGTTAATATTATAAATAAATTCATTGTGATTAAATCGTCTATTGACGCGTAATAATTCAGCACTAAACAATTCTGGACGTACACGTCTAGTCTGCTTTGTGCGAATTATGTCCACAAGTTCGTGAATTTGCTCGTTGGAAATATCATAATCTGGTACGGTATGGTTTCTAGTACGAATAATACGTACGATATCTTGCACGAGTTCCTCATCTACGTCATCGTCGTTGTTGTTTCGTTTTCGTTTTTTCGACGCCGATGATGCCATAACAAACAACAAAAACGCGTTGGTTTCAGTTCCTCTTCTTCTTCCACAGGCTCTTGCCCCGCGTCTGTAATATCCAATTGAATATTTGGACTTCGATTTACGTTTACAAACATACAATCGAACGTAACAAGAGGTGTATCACTACTACCCGTACACAATTTAGAACCCATTATAAATAATATTTTCGACAAGACAAGACGCCTACAAATGGCAACGGGACACATAAACATTCATTTTAAATCACTTATAAACCCTAAAGAAAATTATGTAGCAAATTATCAATTTGACGATGACCATCAAGACATCGCAATCATACCTATATTATTTCAAGATGCCCTTGCTCTGTGGTGTCGCAATCAGCTTGAAGCATTTGTCGAAATACCCATCGACGATTTATGGTCTCGATTTGCAGACATGTGTACAACATACGCGATTCCTCCGCATCTGGCAAGTAAAGTAACCAATGCTATTAATTATATAGAGCGTCACAAAAACCAATACATAGGCATTTCTGTAATCGTCTAATGGCGCGAACTAAGAAAACACCGCGACGGCAAAAATTTGTATTAAATTTACTACGTCAGACACGTCGAAAACGTAAACCCAAATCACAAAGTGTTCAAAAATCTCAACAATGTGTAAGCAATACACAAAAAGATGTACGTTGTCGTAAACGAACAGCACATACGGAAAAATGTTGGATTCATCTAGCCAAGCAAAATAATCTACGTATTAAACCCTCCAATGTGGCGGGTGCCGGCAAGGGATTATTTGCGTGGAAAAAAACGATCGTACGAGGAAAATTGATTTCAAAATATACGGGACGTAAATTAAGCAAAAAAGAATTAGACAAAAAATATGGAAACGGTGTCGCAAAATATGCCGTATGCAATAAACGAGGGCGATGTGTTGATGCCACATACACCACAGACGCAGCGGCACGTTTTGTTAACGATAGTCGGGGTACATCTTTTCAAAACAATGCCAAAATAAAGGGTAATCAAATGTTTAAATTAAAAGCGACTAAAAAAATACCCGCTAACCAGGAAATATTCACTTCGTACGGAAACGAATATTGGGCATAAAAAACACTGTATGTAACGATGAATAATTATTTGGGTTAATCACGCGCGCATGAAAAATATGGTTCGTAAACGAAAACAAGACGGGGGTAATTTCAGGGGAAAAAAGTATCAACGTAGCAAGAAACAAGATGGCGGGAATTTTTTTACAAAATTAAGAAAAAATTCATTCTCAAAAAAACTTCTCACCGCAGGAAAACAATTGGCAATGGGCGCTTTGGGAGGTGGGGAGCAAGCAAGAAACACTTCACCCCCTATGCCCGTTCGAAGAGATTACCAACAAAAAGGTGCTGGAATCAAAAAGAAACGCAAGAGTAATAAACGTGCTAAACTTAGAAATACTATACCGTCCGCAAAATATGTAATGTATCATCAATAAATGTTTATACCTTAAAATATTCTCCGTTGTGCTGATTTTTTCTTTACACGTTCAAACAATAGACGACGTAAATTTTCTATACCGATGCGTCTTTTTTTTGTAACACGTGCATACACAAATAATTACTTTCCATAAATTTCAAAGTCCTTTTATTCATAATCCCAAGTGTCGTCATTCCATATAAGGTAATCAACTTTTTTACAAGTATATTTTATTTAAATTTTGCCCGTTTATATACAAACAAATTAAGTTTGAACATATTGTGAATAAAACTGAGAATATATTACATTCTCATAAAGTATCGAAATTTAGTACGTCTCCATAATAAAAAATGTTCCATCATCGTTGCAACGTCGAACAGACTGATACTAACCCGCGACTCTTCACATATTTTTATAACGTAATTTTAGCATCTTTCTAAATTCACGCAATCGACAAATATTTATATTCGACGACGTACTGTTTGTATGTTTCAGACCCATTAAATACGGGAGTACAGCACTTGCAAGACATCTTTTTTTACCGCCAAGACTCAATTCTCCATGTTCATATTCAATGGCGGAAAAAAAATCTCTTATTACCCACAGTTGCATGTATGTTAAAATCAATGGTTTTCCCACGGGTTGTAAAATTTGCATATCTATCTTTTCTTCCACAAAACATAGCCGTAGAATTTTTTTCGAAAAACGTCTACAAAATTGTAGCAAACCCGCGATCTTCGTCGAACCACATAGTTCATATTTTACATATTTAAAATATTTCAACATTCCATTCTTTGACCATTTTAACATTAACTCTTGTAATAGTTTTTCTTTAACATCGGTCGTTTCAAAATAAAATGTTCGCGTACTAACCATCTTCTTTACAACCTTCTAACACGAGGCCCACAATACACTGACGTGTTTTAACAAAATGTACATATTTATTTGCAAACGAACATAAACATTTAATACACGATGCAGGCTGAATACTATATCCCTCGTGTAATGCCATACCAACTAAAAGATGATAAAAACTGCCTTCGTAATAATTTTCATCATTATAATTAACAAATCCCACGACACATTTATTTCTATAAATCCAACGCGTATAGGGATATTTAAAGTACAATGTTTTAATATCATATTTGCGAAACACTGCCATGTTCTTGTATAAACTTTAACACGAGACTGTGCGAGGCTTCAATACCCAACTCATTAGTATCATTTAACAATGCGGAATAATATTGTTCTCTAATCACATTAAATTCACCGTCTATCAAAAAAATATCACAAGGTATTATGTCATCTAAAAATACTTCTACATTACATTGATCACTATAATCTGGTACGGGATCGCCTACCTCAAGAAATTTATCAATTGCCATTATAAAATCTTTTAAATATTTACAACATCTACTACATACTAAAATATGTTTTAACATTTTTTGTAAATATTCACTATCATATTCATGAAACGAACCGTCATTTTTCATCATATGCAGCATCATATCACCAAGATCTCCTAATATATATATAATATATAATATATCTACTTGAAACGATGCTGTCCTAAATAATTCAAACAAAGGTTTTAAACCCAAAAAAATCGGTATTTCATACAACAAGTACGCTTTTTCTTCATTGCAGGGTCCACAGCCTACGTGAAAATACGATGCATCCTTAAGATAGGGTTCGCCCAAAATCATCTCTTGACAACGTATCAATTTACAATCGGTACGTTTCAAAACCTGACGGCAGCAAAACTCGAAGGATTTCAGAATCATGAACCCCTTTTCGTTGAATACCACTCTTTTCACCCATTCACAGGGTATAACATACATAACTCCTTCGCTATAGCTTGGCGAAACCAACGCTTCAGTCATAGAATTTCCGTCTTCATCTTTAATTTTATCATCGTAACAAATGATAGAATTCAAGCCAGTGCCCACACCACACAGCCACGGATTCTTTTCCACAAAATAATCGTAAATAATACGTTCTTTGTTCATGCGGGGTTTTCTCGTACGTAACGTGCTGTTTACAGAATAAAAACGCCATAGAATAGGGTGATGTGGATAATTTTTTAATAAAGCATCAAACGTGGCGATGGCCAACTGTCCTTTTGATAAATGAACAATGATAATCGCCATACAAATGATACGGGCAACGTTCGGGTGTCATACCATATTTGGTAATCAAGTTTGCATACTTCTCGCACCCTAATAACTCGATATTAATACCTTTTGTACCCAATTTCTTCAATAAATCTCTTTCGATAGTACCCCCTTTATAACCCACCAAATCAGCAGAGGTCATAAACTCTTCGCATAACACTTTATACACGTCGTGATATTGTAAAAAATCATCATTGTTTTTTTCATACACCACGGGTAAACCATGTACGTGGTGAATTTGGTAATTACCCTGGGATTTATATAAATATTTGGCATATAAATTTGAAATGAAAATGTCTTGCCGTCGCATATTCGATACACGGACACCTCTCGTAAATAAACTTGATTTTTTCCCAACGTGTACGCCTCGCAATCCATAACGTGTGTAATTCGACTAACAATATCTTTTTGATATTTTCGTACATAATTTTTTTCCCACTTTTGAATTTGACTATGTTGTTTCTCAAACCAACGCTCTACGATCTCCATACTTAAGAGCACACACGCACACACTGAGTAAAAATTTTTATTTTTTTATTTTATAAATCTGTCTATTATACATTCACAAACGCAATACGGTTTAGCTGCATTACATTTACAATTTTTTGTAAAATAACTTCGATTCGTATAATATTTTTGTGCATAAGTAATATAGGTTTGAATTAAATGTTCACTAACAAATACGTCATATTCTGAACATAATGTTTTACAAATCTCTTTTACGCTCGCAAGTTCTGTTTTCAGTGATTCCCTTGTCAATGTATAATAAATATCATGCAATATATTTACTATTGGAGTATAATTTTCAAAATATCCATGCATACAGCCACTTGTGTAGCGGGGCATACGACAACCCATGGATTCCCGACAAACACGACGCTCGTAAATAGAAGGGGTCCATTTCACCAAAAATCTTGATATAACATGTTCTCTAGCACAACGTACTGACATTAGGGCCACATCCAACGACAATATCGACTGTTTCAGATCCAAATGTTTTACAACAACGTACATATATAAATTAAAAGAAAACACACGCTCGGCATATAATAAATTCACGTTTTTTTCCCTAGCGGTCATAGAATAACTTTTTCGACAAAGAACATTGTAAATTTCTAACTCCTCGTCGCAAGGTGTAGCACGACAAAACATTTTCAATCACAAACATATCCCAAATCTTTAAACTGTTCACACAAAACACATACTGCTTCGCACCGACATCTTGGAGGTACGTAGTGCAAATTACGTTCTGTACTCCACGCAATACATTTACACGATGACGTCATAAAATCTTTAACAATATATTGTAGTTTAAAAACATACACAAGAATACGCGCCAATCGATAAGACGGGTACATGTGTAATACGGTATTGCATACTTCACGTAAAACTTGATCACTACATTGTGTACACTGATCGATAGCGGCCATAAAAAGTTTTGTTTTTTGATATAAAAATGAATGTAAATCCGACACGTATTCGTCGTCACTACATATCAAATCAATATCGGTAGTAACAAGCCAATAAGGGGGGCTCCATACACGATCCGTTGCTACATACAATGATTTACGCGGCTTCATATAAAAATCAACCCCGATTAGACCACAAAATCCCAACGGAAAACATACACAACCGATTACCACACGTCTTGTTGAACTACCCACAATCGTATACATGTTTTCAAAATAAAAATAACATTGTGGAAATGTTATTATGCAACCACCGTTTACAATATTACTATCATCGACTCCACCCTCGGGTAAATTTAAATAATAACGCCACATTTCTTTCACTAATGTTAAAAATTTATTGTCCGTACATAATAACTCATGAATCTCGTCTCTATTTTCATTTTCTCCTATATGCATATTCTGACGTATACTATCCATGCTTACAACAAGGGTGTGAATACCATGGTGTGTAAAAGGGAAAATGCCATACATCACACTTCAGCGTGCAATTTGATAACATACGCATACGTGCATCACTAATCATCCTACAATAATATATTAAAACTTGGGTCAAACGACACGACCCATACATCCGTATACTTTCGGAAATCATCTTACATAAATTCTCCACCGATATATCCATATTGTTGTATCGAAATATATATTCAATAAATTTACTCGCGCGTCCGTAAATATATGTCTTCTGATCTTTACACAAGGGTATATTATTAAAATGAAGCACATTTAAACGTTTAATTTCAATATATGGTGTGCGATATTTTATAGGGTGCGTATATGCTTTCTCAACTGTCGTGTGAAAAACTACATCAACAATCGCATAAATCTCCCGACTCCAGCAAAACATCATCGTAATTACGTACGTATTCTGCGTTGTGGTAGAATTTAAAAAATAAAAATAAGTCTGTGGAAAAGGTAAAATAACCGCATTATTAAGCAACCACATGGGTTTCCATGATACTTTTAAAGTATACTTTCTTGAAAACGTTAAAAGAAAATTTATCATTTGTTCATCGATAGCCAATAAATGTTTTACTTCCAACACATCAAACTTATCATCACACGTTTCATTCTGTAGAGGAACATCAAAGGGTAACAAGGAATCGTGAACGTCCATCATTTCATCCATTTTCAATCGTTTACTAAAAAAAAACCCCTATATATCAGTCCAAGTGTTCATTGCTCTAGCCCTTGATATATCTTCAACAATCTCTTGTAATAACTTATAACTACATAGTATTTTCGTTTTTGCTGCAATCTCTTTGATTATTTCCCATACATCAACGTTCTGCGTATAAATTTTACATCGTAATACCAGATCGAACATTTCAGCCTCGGGTGCGGCACGAGCAAAAAAATGATCATCATTTTTAAAACATACGGGTATACTCATGAGATTTCGACACGTCTCGTTTATATACAAATTCACAAAACCCACATTATACGTATTCATACCATACGCTTTATATCGAAGCCGTCCCGTTAAAACATATTGTATATTATAAACATAATCATTGTAATATAATGCTATGACAGAAGATATTACAATTCTATTTTTCGACAATGTACGATTTATTAAAAGTTTTATTTGTTTATCATATTGCTCACCCTCGCTCATAGTAGAACTCGTAGCCATTTCTTGAATAATTTCCGTAACTATTTTTACACACTCGCCCGTACAAGGTATCCAATATCGTAGCCAAACTAGCATAAGTATACTAATCAACAAGGTCAACAAGGTTTGCAAATCCCACATTCTTTGCATTTTTCGTCGGATTGTTAAACGACATCTTGCCAATAATTCTTTCATTCTAAAAAAAACAGATCAATCATTTTGTTAGGTCAAACCATATTTGGTAATCGACTTTTACACTCACAACCATATTAGGTAATCGACTTTCTACCTTGTCACTACATTAATCTACTTTTTACGTCTAAGACACATCACGCGACAATTTTTAACCAGTTTATTCAGCATGGCTTCAGCACAACAACAGCAAGATCTAAAGCTCTTCTTCGAATATCAAGGAGTTAGGGAAAACGACGTAAATCGACTACATTACGTTCAAAAGTTCACAGATTTTCAGTTTTTCAGACTAGCTAACCCTGTATACTCATCGTTCGACAGAGCCTACATTAAATGGTTACAACAACCCACTTATCAAGCAATGGAAAATAACATGATTATTCAACCGATGCAATTTGAAAAACCGAGCCTAACCTTTATGGACGTACAACAACCACCACCGTACACGTCACCACCTGTCCTGAACAATGTGAATAACTATAATACCGATCTGTTAAGTATTATGAATCCAATAAATCCAAATACTCTATACCCAAACAACGACGAAGCAGAATATCTACTAAATGAAACGACAACTGAGATACTCGAATCAAGTAGTGATGATCAGGCAACGTCTCCCGCAACCGCACCACCCCCACCTTCAACCCCCGTGAAAAAAACCCTAACCCCGATGGGTAAAAACATAAACAATCTAAAAAGAAGTCTAAAACGAAAAGCGTCCTCCACGACATCTAAAAGTGGACGGCCAAACAAACATGTGCATCTCACACGAATTGCCAACAACCAAGCAGACCAAGAAAAATTCAGCTCACAAGACGTAATTCTCTACGCGTTGGATGGGACGGAGAAAAAACGAAAAACAATTCTAACTACTAGCAACGAAACTCTTGAAACCTATAACATAAAACATTATCAATGCTATGTATATCTAGGTGATAAACGTGTACAAGCGCTAGAGAAAATCAAAATACAAAAAGAAAAACTAGAAAAACTTTGTTATCTTGAAAAATTCACAATAGAATCGTTAAAAAATCGTCAAAATAGAAAACTCGAAAAAAATGTTTTGTAAATACTTGTATAAAAAATAATAAATAAATGATATAAAAATTGTATGTACACCCGAAAAAACCCGCACAAACACCCGCGACGCCCCGAAAGCGGGCACGCGACAGCATAAAAGAGCGCGAACTTCAAAATCGAATCACTTCGGTCGACCGAGGCTTTGGAGTAACATCTCGCCCCAGCCCCCACAAAACGTTCTCGTAAGAACGCGCGGCGCGACCCCCCCAAAAACAAAAAATCCCACACACCCCAGAACGAATACATTCCTGAAGTCACATGACCACAAAAACTCCCCCCGTCCGTACAGCCCACCACGCCCATGGCCAACGCCCTCTTGGACACTCTCGCGTAATACTAATTCCAGTTAATTTTTTCTGGTTCCCACACCCCCTTTGTTTTTTTATTGTATATATATAACGACTACTGATACTCTGGTTGATGATTTTGATGTTTAAAAAAATTCTAATGGCTCCCATAAATTTTACTGGAGAAAATGATCCCCCACCTCTTGCCAGTAAACTCCACACCCCCAATTTTACCCATCCAAGGGAGAGTCTTGCATACTAATGGGCTAATCAAATATGGCATACTTTGTTATTTTTCTCTGTCCAACACCAGACAATTTTACTTGTCAAGGGTAAGGTTTTAAAAGTGAATAATAAAAAGTGGCTGGATATTCTATACTTGCTCCATATAACTGGACTTTGGTTGTGAGCAAAATGTAAAAAGACAGGCGCGGATCCAGACCGTGGCAAACATGGCTCGAGCCACGGTCAGATTTTTCCCACATAGGATTTTCCGGGGTTCACCTTTTTTGGATACTGGATTAAATAAATTATATTTTACCATTTTTTAAGAAGTATATATTAATTATTTGAAATACAGCAAAATTGAGCAAATATAGGTCTATAGCAAACAATTTGAATAATATCTTTCGTAATTGTTCTCATATTGATGTGGATTTGTGCTAAAAGCAGGAAAAACTTTCGAAATATATTCCTTGTTCAATAGTATAATTACTCAGTTAAACACTGAACTATAAAAACCGCTGAAAGCATGCCGAATTGTGCCGAATATGTTCGGAAAACAGTCATAAATTCGAAGCTGCGATCACAGCCACAAAATGCCACGGTCAGCGTGCAAAAAATTGTGCAATTGTTACTAAATATAGCAACTTTCTGCCACGGTGCAGCGTTGCAAACCAATCACAGGGCAAGTTGTGGTCATGTGCGCCACGGTATTTTGATTGCGCAATACAAATGATCAACAATTAAAAGTTTGATACTTGTCAACTTGATGGGATAAAGTTACATCACAAGCTACATTGCTGAATCGAATGCTAAATGCTGTCAGGATGGAAGCTTTTAAAAAGGTCGATGTTCTTAGGAAGCTCGTCGAAATCTTTCATCAAGCAAACCTAAGCGAACATATTTCAGGGGAATTATCGCTCTTGAGGCAACAATGTGATGAATTTATCGCTGAAGAAAGGCTGCGCCATATAACATCTACTGGCGACATCAAGCTGCGAACGTCGGAACGTTCAAATTTTCAAAACTGCAGTCCCCCAAGAGCCAAATTGAAAGATCTGGGCCCACTGTTCCTGTTAGGTAAGAATTTTTAATCGACTTATATTAAATTTGCATTTATGCTGGGGTCAGGGAATAATTTGTGTATGCAAATTTGTATGTATGATTTTATGTATGATTGTATGTAAATTTTTGTCAGTGAAATGGTAATATGATCTCGAACGCATGGCGGTTGTCAATAAAATATGAATTGCATTTATCGGCTATGTAGTCTTGAAATATGAGTAAATAACTCGACTGTAAAATTAAATGTTTACTTCAGTATTGGGTCTAGTCATCTATTTGGTCTTACCAAGCTTTAAATAGCACCTTAATATTTGTATTGGTTGACCAGGGGTCGGTTGTTTTAAGGGGCTGATTACATGGAGCATTTTCAACCCCGGGGTTGAACTCAGCCCTGTTTACCGGGTTGAAATTTCAGCCCTGTCTGTAATACAAAACTCTATCAAAATCAAATGATTACATGACAAATTTTCAACACAGGGTTAGCAGGGTTGAAATTTCAACCCCGGGGTTGAACTCAGTCCTGGGTTGAAAATTTTGTCATGTAATCATTTCAACCCAGGCCTGATGGTAGTTACTATTTATTACAAGAAAACAAAATAAAGTCTTTTTTACTTCTGGGAATCGATGCCGATAAACTGTAGTATAGCGTTCCAACCCCGGAGTTGAAATAGTCCATGTAATCGCAAAAAATTTCAACCCGGTTAACAGGGCTGAGTTCAAGCCCGGGGTTGAAAGTTCTCCATGTAATCGGCCCCTAAGCTAGCTTAAGGCTAATCCTTGTTTAAAATTTAACCTAGTGTTTTTGTTTGTGTGTTTCTGCATGCCTGTTTACTTCGAAACTTTGAAGAAAACTCTTATTCATCCAGACAAGATTTCTGAAGAAATATTTCTAAATTCATAGACAATTTGCTTTGAATTTTATGTTAACCCAGGGTTAAACTTAATAATCGGCATTTGAACAACTGGCCCCTGGAGGGGGACTACCTCACAGGTATTTGTTGTGGATGATGTCATCCTGATCCATAATCCTGACCTTAAAACCTAATCCCAAATCTAAAACTGCAACAAATTCCCACGAGTTAGTCAAGGATAGTCATGAATAGCAAACACTGTGATTGGTCCAATTTAAAGTTTGCATTATATAACGACTGCATGACGACAGCAAAATAGCAAACATTTTTTTATTTGATGATTGATAAATTTCTTGCAAACATATTTCATTTTTGCTCGCATTTTTGCAAGATTTTGTAAATTTCAAGAAGAAATGGCGAAAGAATCGCCTAAAAGAAGGGAGCCAACGTTAACGAAGGTAAGTTTGTTTTAAATATTGATTTTATAATTGCTTTAAAAACCGACGGCCTTTGCGTATATGTAACAACTAAACAAGACGGCATATAATTTCAGTGTATCTTTAATATTGATTCCCTTTTTTATTATATTGAATTTTTTTAAATAAACTGAAAGAAAGCAAAGTTATTTGCATGCGAGAATTTGAAATCATTTTATTGCAAACTCAAAGTTTATCGATAAAGCCATTTAATTAAAAAATAAAGGCAGTTTAGTTTTATAAAGAACACTTTAAAACGTTTTGCGAAGCGCCTTGTGGTTGAATTTTACCTTAAATTGAAGCTTATATTACGTATAATATACCTAACATATATATGTTGGAAAATTGATAATTTTGTAATTAAAAGTCATATTTTAAGTGATTTTTCATTTGTATGAATATTTTAAAGAAATTATCGTGTTACCATGACAACTACTTTAGATACTTCATGTTTGGAAAATACAATGGTTTTGTCAGCAAGGCAAGGGTTTCTGCATGCATGTATTTTCTAGTTAAATTTGTTTGTTGCAGGCTATTTTGATCATGGCGTTGGTTGTTACTAACAATTAATTGATCCCATGGTTTATAATTTTCTTTGGAACTTTCTTTATTTGTTTCAGTAATTGAGATTTCATGTATGCTTGAGTTGCCGTTTATGCTAAGTGGAGTGGTTTCATAATTCACTAACCCGTCATTATCTTTATTATCATTTGTTGAATTCAACAGTTTATTATTACTTTCCGTTGCTAATGAGCCGCTTTGTTGGTCATCACCAAACATTTGCATTTCAATGTCAGCAGGCACATTATATTCACTACACAAAATACTTTTCGGTATAGTATAGACTTCCTTAAGTGATTTGGCATCGTTTATAATTTAATTGACTGGATTTTCTTTAACCATTTCAATATTTATGCTTTTGTTTCTATTCCCGTGAGACTTTTCACTAGAAAAAACTTTCTCCTCCAGTTCGGAAATTTGTGACTTTAAGGTCAAGTCTTCTCTATAAATCTTGTTTACTTGTATTTATAATTTTAACTTGTTCAGAAAGTTTTTCCAACAAATTTACCATTTCCGATTCGATCTTTTCTTTAAAAATGAAAAACGTGCCTCCATTGTAACCAAATTATTGTTAACACGCTTCTGATATGGAGTAGAACTAGGTTACCTGCAAGGTAGGGATGGCTGCGAGCATTTTAGGGTCCAAGTAAAATGTTACATGAAATACAAGTAAACTAAATCCGTTTTTACTAATATATAGGAATAGTAAGTTTCAAGAACGTATTAACGTGAATTAGGCCAGGGGCAAACGTCAAACTTTTCATGCGCCAAACCTAATGTTAATGAGCTAAGTTCTTTGTTTAAGTTCATTTAAATTAGGTTCAGTGCATGAAAAGTTCGACGTTTGACCCTGGGCTTTAATAGCAATAATATTATGAAGTACAACAAAGTTTTGACACATGCAAAGTTTAGTAGAAGTCCAAAGGCAAACTTAAAAAGCATTCACAAGTACATAGTTTTGCAGAAGAAGGGTGTTTTCCCCTTGTCGGAGTACAAAGGAGAGTACACGGTTTGCAAGGTGTGGCTAGCTCGATCAAATTAAAGTCTTTAGAAACAGTTGATTTCAAAATGTTTCAACATTATACGAATCCCAATAGGAGTAATAACAATAATAGTAATATTAATAGTGGCCTAAGTGTTTGTCTTTACTGTAGAGTCCATTAAATGTGTGGCTCCATGTAAAGAGTAACAAAACAGTAAAATATATTGAACTCTTTCTCCCCTTTAGCTTACAACTTCCAGTTTAACAGAACAGAACATGATAACATGAATGTATTTGTCTTTCTTTGATGTTAAGTTCGTTAATTGTCTTTTTCTGTTACCGACAATACATTCTTTTTCGCATTGTAGAATATGGAGGCTTCCACAGTGAGGAGAAACTCCATAAGTGTATTGTCATCAAGATTGTCAAAGGTTTCTTCTGTGTTGGTTTGGCGCTTGTAGATATTATGTAGTTGTTTCAGCTTGTTGTCGAACAGAAGCAAAGAGACTGTTGATCTGCTTTGCCAAACATGACATTTGCCATTAGATGCTGGATACATTTTGACTTTAGCTGGGCCATTCCACACTCAGTGCATTTGGTAAGGTTTTTTGTTGGATCAGGCACCAGTTTAGTTTGGCATTTTTTACATGACAGGATGCGTTGTACTGATAAAACGCCTTCGGCAGGGCTATCAAATTTCTGCAAGTGTGGTAGACCGTCCGCTTCAGTGCCCACCCTATCTATAGAGGTATCCGCTGGCTTGATAATCGAATGCTTGTTTAGGGTTAGGTACTTCGCATTATCAAATTCTCGAACAACTATCTTTGAGATGTTATACACAGACTTTGAGATAACCTGTGTTATGTCACCTTCCCATAGCACAAGGTGCATTGTCCCCGAATTGTCGGTAAATATGGCTTCTTGTTTTCGGAGTGTCTTGCCTTTAGAAAGTATAGTCTCTTCTGCACCATGGAGGGTAATCCACCCGCATATATTGATAACAGCGTTGATGTCGCCTTGCAACACATCTGAGACTGCAGTGATGCCGGGTTTGCATTTTCCTTCCGATTCTACCTTCTTGATGTCGAAAGTCACCTCGGATTCTTGTGGGTCTTCCAACTTCGATTGCTTGTTGATGTGAATTTTCTGCTGATTAGATCTTTGATTTCTTTCTTCAGACTTTGACGTGCGAGGACTTACCAATCCTAGATCCTGTTCTGTATCAGAACGTCAGAAGGCGAATCATCGTAACCCTACAACTAAGCTTTCATATCTACATGATTGTTTATTGCCACCGTGGCCGGGCATATTTTTCAAGCTCGACCGGTGTGGATATACACTCAGAGTAACACCACAAATATCATATTCACCTGAGTACACTACACCAACACAGAAAAAAAAAGTGTAGATGTGATTGCTTTGGAGACTTGGCTCACTGTCCATGTGCGTGATGATGAAATCTTGCCTGTTGGATACAAGCTATTTCGGCGAGATCGTCGAACTGGTAAACAGGGCGGTGAACCTTCTGGCTTCGTTTCAGACTCATTGGAACTTGTATCTCTGGTTATTATCTCCTCGTCTTGTAAAGTACTTGTTGCTGTCTGTTACCATCCACCTGACTCCACTAATGTTTTCCTAAATAAACTAACCTGCTTTTTAAAATTTGTCAAAGAATCGCAATTCAAAAATGTTGTTCTAATTGGCGACTTCAACTACCCTAATATCCAATGGTCTAACAGTTCAGGTTTCTCTACTTCAGCTTCTGAAACTAGTTTCATTGACAGCATCACTGAGTTTAGTTATCTGCAATTGATTAACTCACCTACCCGTGGTAACAACCTCGTCGACCTGGTTTTAACTACAAATGAACATTTGACTGACAACTTTGAAGTTACTGACGACAACTCCATCTCTCCACCCTCTGATCACAAAGCTATATTTTTCGACCTAAAACTCCATCAACAACCTAAACAATCCTCCGAACGTGTGGTCTATCATTATGCTAAGGGTGATTTCGTTGGCCTATTTAACAGTCTAAGGAACACTCCACTAGTTGATATAGTCCTCAACGAAAGTAACAACGTTAATCTTGCCTGGGCTAAGTGGAAGGATACTTTCCTTGCCGCTGTTGACTATTTCATCCCCAAAACAAAGCTCAAGCGTTCTTTTAAACCCCCATATATCACCAAGGACTTACTTCATGCCATTAAGATGAAAGAGTCACTAAGAAGAAAGGCAAAGGCTAAGAAGTCGCCTGAACTTTGGAAGAAATTCCGCAAAATTCGGCAACACATCAAGTGTTGGATAAATTCCAAGAAGAGAGAATATCTCTCTGGACTGTCCGAACATGTGTATAATAACCCTAAATCATTCTGGAGATTCTTTAAATGTAAATCCTCAAAATCTTCGGTCCCTGACGTGATGAAGTTGGAAGGTCAGAAACTTTTTTCTGCAAAGGAAAAAGCGGATGGCTTTAACCAATTTTTTATGTCAGTCTTCACCTCTGACACAAGTTCTTCACCTCTGACACAAGTTCTTCACCTCTTTTCACTCCCTCTAGTTCAGCTTCTAACTCTCTTGACTCATTAAATGTATCTGAATCCGATGTTCAGTCTTTGTTGTCCAATTTGTCAACCTCAAAGGCTACTGGTCCTGATGGCATTCCAGCTTACCTTCTAAAGCGATGTTCTGAGGTAATTGCCCCTTCCTTGACTGCTCTCTTTGAGTTATCTCTTCAGCAGGGTGTTTTTCCTTCTGAATAGAAAGCTGCTAATGTTGTGCCTATACCCAAAAAGGGTGACACTCATGAGGTCACTAACTACAGACCAGTTTCCTTACTCTCTCAAGTCTCAAAAGTTCTCGAACGTTTAATTTTCAGTCAGGTTTCTTCTTTTGTTGAAAACTCCTTGTACGACCTTCAACACGGCTTTCATTGTAAAAGGAAATGTGTTACTCAACTTTTGAGTGTACTTCACGACCTTGGTCGTACTCTTGACTCTGGAAAGGAAACAGACCTGATTTATCTCGACTTTGCTAAAGTGTTTGACTCAGTGTCCCATAGCAAACTTTTGTTCAAACTTAAATCATCTGGAATCTCAGATCCACTTCTTGACTGGTTTGCTGATTACCTTCGTGATCGAAAACAGTGTGTTGTCATTGAAGGAGCTTCCTCATCTTTTCTAAATGTTACCTCTGGGGTGCCACAAGGTAGTGTAATAGGTCCTCTTTTATTCATTCTTTATGTTAATGACCTTCCAGAGGTAACCAATAATAGTACCGTTGCTCTTTTTGCTGATGACAACAAGTGTTATCATGCTATACGATCATCAGTTGATTGTGGTCTCCTTCAGCTTGACCTGGACGCTATGTCCAACTTGTCACTTAACTGGAAAATGAAATTTAATGTCTCGAAGACGCTCCTACTTAGGATATCCCGCAAACGTAACCCTCCAACTCATTGCTACTTTCTTAAGAATGATCCAGTTAAGAGCATAGCTAACCAAGTAGACTTGGGTGTTGTTATCAGCAATGACCTAAAGTGGTCCCCTCACATCGCCAGCTGCACTGCAAAAGCCAATCGTATACTTGGTTTTCTTTGTAGGAATTGTACACTGCCGTAGGCTTCTTTATCTTGCTCTTGTCCGATCTAATCTGTCATATGGTAGTGAGATCTGGGCACCTCAAGGATCGTCACGTGATCTTGCGATCATCATCGGGGGTGTTCAAAGACAAGCTAGTAAATTTATCCTTCAGGATTATGAGTTGCCATATCCTGAACGCCTTAAGAAGCTTAATCTATTACCAATATCCTACTGGATGGCACTAAAGGATCTCGTCTTCTTTTTTTAAATGTAAGCACAGTCTCTTCGACCTAGATATCTCCTCTTTCGTTACTTTTTCTTCAAACAGCTCGTCTCACACCCGTTCAAGTTCGGACAACTTGGTTCATGTTAATCATTGCAGGACTTCTCTCTTTGGGAACTCTTTTTTCAACCAAGTTGTCTTTCTCTGGAACAATCTCTCTTCCACCATTCGTAATAGTTCATCCGTTTCCTCCTTTAAAAAAACAGACTAACTGTTCATTACTCTTCTCTACCTCATTCATCTTTCGATGTAAACCGAATGCGCACTTGGAAAACCTTCTGTTCTAAGTGCCGCTCTTTCAACTTAAGCTGTTGTTCATAATTTGTCATGTTTTCTATAAATTTTATATTTGTTCTCGTCTTTGATTTATGTTTGTTATAGTTTGTTTTCATTAAGGTTGGTCTTCACATGGGGCTATTCATTTCCTGTTGACCATACCTTCAACCATATTATGTAGTGGTTTAATCTATTTTATGTATGGTTGTAAAGTTAATAAATAAATAAATAAAAAAGCATGTTTGTCAACTGGTTGTCTCTAAGAAGTATTGTCATACCAAGTGCATTGTCCATGTCTTCTACAATTCTAAAAAGAGGATAAACTTTTAAACACAATATACACATTTGGAACACAATATACAAAAAATAGTTCCTTGAGAACACAAGGAATTAGAGCACGATAAGGTTAGCAATTGCTTGAAGACGTTTTTCTTCATTCAATATGTACTTCAGAGATTCAACTTTTTTTATGGAGGAAAGCCTATCATACATCATTGGTTCAATTATTAATGAAGATAAATTGCGAGCTCGGCTTAATGCTACACTCGGGCATGTTAATGCCTGGGTCTGCCCACGTTTGGATGATATCTTGCATGCATGTTGCATGCGCGATCTGTCAGTAATGCGTCTGTTAGGATATGCGCCCCCCTTGTGTGAGTATTTTAGTGAATTCGGACATTTGTTTCAAATCAAAATATAGTATATATGGGCGACAGGATTATTTTGGAATATACAATGCAAAGAAGTTGGTATACTATTCAGTTTTGATGTAATAATTGGCTCTTTGTATAGCAATAAGTATTGTATCATTTGCGACAGCTGACCTTTGAACTGCTGATAAATAAAAACTTTTTATAGTGCGCTATCTTGCAATTATTCTGTATTAATTGTTGATTGTTTCTTATTTTCAATGAAAAATTGCTTGTGAATTATAAATTAATTATAGCACGTATAGTTCACTCGGTCTTTTCCACCATGGCATACTTCCCTTCAAGCATTAACTATGCTCCAAGATATCGGCTTGAATGCGCAATGAATGTTGTTATTGGAAATATAATATCCCTTACAATAAGCGGCAGTCTGTTTCATTATGGCGCGTGAAATTTATCACGTGAAAAACGTGTTCGTCTTGTAGCAGGGTAATTTGATGAAATTATGCTATTTTTATTAGCTAAAAACATTAACAAGGGAATAAAGTTTCCTGCGTTAATTTGGAAACCATACATTTATTTGTAGATAACATTTAATGATGCGATTAACATTCGTTTTATGCCGATCATAGTAATATAGCCGCATAAAATAATGAAACGAAGCCTAAATGTAAACTTTCCAGATTCATTCAATAAACAGTGATATCATGTGCGAATGTTTATCGCAATTCTGCGTCCGCTGAGACACGAAATATACTGCTGCAGAGCCTCCGAATAAAACGTATCATTTTTTGTATTGTTTTTCGAAATATACATTACGTGATCATCGCCATGACAACGAAAAGTAGGTCAGCTTTTAGAATCTCCTTTGACAAATCATATAAAACGTGAATGGTAATAATCAAGGCCATACTTATTTTTTTATGATTTTTTGTTTATTTTCGCTAAATGCACAAACTGAGACCCACGCATTAATGTACCTGAGCATAAGTCATTCCTAAAGTAGTTTCTTTTTTGCCCACATCAATCCATGCTTTTTCCAGGGTCATACCCTGACTTTTGTGAATTGTTAATGCCCATGCAAGTGTTAAAGGTAATTGTTGTCTTTCATGTACACTATTACCCATACATACAGTTGCAGTGACTGGAGGTATGGGAACACAAAAAGGCATGTTTGAAAATGATGGACCACAATAATTATCAAATTTTACCAAAACAGCAACAGGCAAGTCTGGTGAATTGCGACTTTCTGCAAATATTATATCAACAACAGTGCCAGTGGACCCATTATACAGGCCAACCATTGACCAAAGATTCATTGTCAACATTACTCTTGCTCCTCTACATGTCAAAACAACTGGGTGCAAACCAAGCATATCTTGGGCACTAACATGTTTTGCATCTTGACTGGAATGACGGGCATGGACTTCTGCAATTGGAGCATGTAATTTTAATAAATGATCATAGTTGTACTTTGCTACCTCTTCATTGCTGTAATACAATCTTGTAGCACCTAAGAAATAATCTACATTAGATGCAACATTTGGTTGACAGGTAAGCAGTAACTTCCAGTCATCAACACTTACTTCTCCACTTTGAAGTCGTGACAAAATACCTTTAAATATAATTTGATCTTCTTAACTACCTCTTACCCTTTGATTAACATTAAGTATTACAACCTTGTCAAACATTTTGTATGCAAGAGAACCTTGTTCACCTACTGGATTTGACGGTTTTTCATGGTATAGCGGCTTGTCTGCAACTGGTGGTAGCTGGGCAGGGTCACCAATTAGAATTATAGATTTCCCACCAAATAGGATATCTTTCAAGCCAGTAGCCTGTCTACAACGTCTGTCAATCCAACCCATGGCAGTTTGACCTAACATAGAGTATTCATCAATTATAATGTACTCTACAGAAAACATGTTCATTTGTAACATATATAAGCTCTGGCCAGCTAAATCCTTAGGAACAACACGGCCCACTGGGAGTTTTAAAAATGAATGGATAGTAATCCTGTTTACACAGCAGCTTTTCCTGTTGTAGCTGTTATTTTACTTTTTTCCCCTAAGTAACTTCTCACAGCATTTATTAAATAGCTTCTCCCAGTTCCCCCTTCACCATTTATTATAAGCAAAAGTTGTTCTTTGGATACATCACTGTTTTGATGATTAACAATAATATCATAGGCCAATTGTTGCTTTTCACTAAACGTACTCATGTCTACTTCATACTCTCTTTCTGTAGTAGTGTATTCAGTCTTTTGCACCTTTATCCAGTTTATCATGGAAGCTATTTGCTCAATTGTGTACTTTGCAGAGTCCAATTGCCAATTGTACAAGTTTTCACATTTTTATGATTGTCATTAAGTTTATGATAAGTGGACAGAATCATCCATTCCTCTTGAACAATACTTTTGTTCTCATTTTCACTATGAAACTCACCATCACTTTTTTGCACTACATTATCCAAGACATTTTCCAACTGTTTTTCCCAATTTGGAACGCATTTGGATGCAACTGGAGAATTCAGAAAGGCCAACCATGCATTGGCATACACAGCATCTGAAGGTGTTTCATAGTTCCATGCATCATTTTGAGAGTTTTTCCAAGGCTTGTATTTCAGAAGCTGATACTTGCAATATAATGGATAGTACAATCCTTTGGGGTTCGAGGAATAAGAGGGGAAATATCGTGGAATTACGTTAGGTGATTGAGTAACAATTTTATTATTAACAAGTTTGTATTGTGTAACAAATTGAGAAAAAACTGATGTTCTTAATAAGTGGGAGATCATTCTGAAAGATTGCTCGTTTTGCATATTTGTGCAAAATAGAATCATTGGTGGAACTACTATTACTATCTTTAACTCCTTGTCGACAAGTAGTTTCACATTACATTACAATTCAATTTTTCAAATGTAAATATCGCGGCGAGTATTTACCCCCCTTTAAAACAAAACCCACCATTGTAATCCTCACAAAATAACCTTTCGAACGGGGGGGGGGGGGGGTCAAGTGCTGTCGAACATTATACAAACCGAAAGAATCATTTTGTTATACTCACCGCTTCGCCAAACATTCAAACGATAAAAAGAGAAAAAGTTGAATATCTTCTAAACTTTTCGTCATTTTCTGACAGGCTATATGTCCAGAGTCACGCGATACAAGCGTGGCATTGTTTTGATGAGTTTTAGTCGTATTTCCGGTTGGGATTATCGCAAATTCGGAGCAAAAATGTAAAATTCAGCACTAAAAGTCACCCTTTAGGGATAGAAGCTTGGAAATAACGTTATACATGGCATTTTAAATGATTAATTCATCAAGAATATCGCAATGAGCATACGTTTCAAAGGGCCGAAGTTATATTCGGCGTAAGGTATGTTTATGTTTTTATATTTTGTAGGTAAAATGTGTAATTTGATCGTATTCGATCTCACTTTACTTTTAAAGCTCATAAATCGCTATAATGTTGCCAATGACTAAAACTATTGCTACGAGTGAGATCTAGTCACACTGAATCGAATGGTGGTATTTTTGTCCTCATAGCATTCAATGAACCAAAGATATTAAATCGGCAAAGCGTATTGCTTACAAGCATTGCGATAATAGGGTCGTGTCAATAAAGAGTTCATTTGTCTTTTTACACTACGGGATCCATCTAAGTTCACTGGCAAGACCTAGCTGAAATGAAGAACTATGCAATTTCAATGAAAGCAGTAAATGCATGGTTTCTTGTGAACTAAAATCTCTTTCTCCAAGTGAGTTTATCATTATTTTTTTCATTACCTTCAAAGGGTCTGTACTAGTTTTTAGGTTGTCAACAACAGCACTAAATGTGTTTTTCAATGTGTTGGACCTGGGTTCACCTTTTGCAGCATATTTACACAAATATTAAACACAAGCATGGTAATCTAGTATTACTTGCATATCACAATTGGCCCTCCAGCCAACAAGTTGAATTTTCCGATGAGTATTCAATCTAGGATCATTCCTTGCTGTTACTATAGTTGCTTTGTATTTTTTTGCTTTTATCTTTTGTATGCACTGGTTGAAACTCAAGTTTGGTGATATGTGAGCACTCAAATGGGATAGTTGAATCTACAATGAAGACCCTCTTTATTTGTCTCATGTTTTAAACAATATCTTGTGCTACAAGTTGTGTGTCGTTGAACAGTGTTAATTAGATCAGTATAGTCATCGCTCTGCTGAGAATCACTGATATCTTTGAACATGGATGAACATGTGGTTTACTCCACATTTCATTTTGGGGTGGACAAGGATTCCACGTAGTAATAAGTCTGTTGACATATTCACAAATAATCTTTGAAGCCTTTTTGCCGTCATTGATTTCAATTGAAAGAGATGAATTATCACAACCATTCTGGCATTTTTCCGCAAGAAATCCTTTTAAAGCAATGTTAGTGAGCTTACAAAGTCCTGGATCAGATGTTAGTTTTGCAGCACCACGTCAATGAATACTACCTCTAGCTTGGAATTCATGATTTCATTTGTTCATACACTCCTATAGGAAGTACTGAAAATAGTCATGTTTAATGTTATTGTTGTTGTGTCTATAGAGTTTAGGAGGACCAGATTGGAAAAAAGTTGTAACTTTATCTGTTTATCCTCAATAAATAAAGTGTTGTTATTATTATTATTATTATTATTATTATTATTATTATTATTATTATTATTATACCTATACCAATGCCACTCAGCATCTAGCGTTTCATACAACCAATGTTTCAAGAATGATTCAAACCTTCTGGTAAAAAACCAATCAACTAAGTGAGGGGTTATCAATAACATTTTTTCTTTTCTCGTCCATACTCAAGCTTTCAACATTTGAAGAGAAAAGAGAATGTAATTCAGGCCAGTAAAGATCAGCAGGGGAGAATGTACAAAATATTGTTGGAGCACCTTTTGCCACTATAAGTGCTTTGAGATCCTCCTTAACTTTAAACCAATATGCAGAGCTACCTGTAACATTTGCTACATACCTAGAGAGTTTGGACATAAGAGGTCGAATGTTACTACAAGCCATTTCCTGTAACTGTTCAAAAGTTAATGTGACTCGTCAGGGATTTTGCTTAAGAAAAATTGAATTCTGTTGCAGAGCACATTTTCTCTGGATCATATTTAGAGCCCAATATGAGAACCTAGGGTGTGAAGCAAACCTATATACCCATTTACCATCAATTTTCTCTGAATATTTCAAAAGATGTTGAATAATATTTCCAAAAGAAACGTCTCTTTACAAACATGGATTTGTTGGGTCACCCTTACCATCGGGAAAAAGTGTAGGAAAAGCAAATGTTGCTAGAAAACCTGTTGTATACTCATTCAATGGTTGACTGTCAAACTGAAGGCCAGTCTATTTTTGAACATTCAAGACTTTTTTATTGCATCACTTTCAAGGTGGTCATTAGTAGACAATGGCAAAAAACTACTGTTTTCTTTTTCATAATCAGCATCACCACCAGTTAAAATTGTATCTGTATCATGGCTATCAATTTCATCTGGGTCTTCTAATGTTTCAATTGTTGAGATATTAGATGGAACACCATTACTTGGTAACGATTCTAATACTTTTAGATCAATTAATACATTTTTATATTGTGGATTATGTTTTATTAACCAATGTAATGCTTGTTCAACTTTTTGTTTTCTTACAACAACATCTTTCAATGAGTTATCCTTTCCTTTCATTGTTACAACAATTATTGGAATATTCTTAGGACAATGGGGTAGTGATTGGGCTAATTCAGATACTTTCTGAGGTAGGTTTATACAATGTCCAGAGTACCCTCGTTGACCGCCAGGTTTTACATAGACTCTCATAATAGGAAGTGCTCTAGCAATTAACATCTCTTCAATTTGAGTTCTAAGCCCTGCAATTGATTGGGCACACCAGATGGTATCATGTTATTCTCTAAAGAAAATTTTCTTGGAACTTGTTTGTCAGATTTGCATCTGTGACTAATGTAATTAACACAAGACTTCTGTATAGTTTTCATTGGCCATGCTTCATGACAAACAGTATTATAAATCATTAAACTATGAAACTTGTTAATGTTTTCTTTGTACTTTTCTGAACCAAGAAAATTTGTATGATCTCGGTGCTGATTTGAGTTTTGTATTGTATCAACATGAGAGGCATTCACTTTCTCACAATTTGGAAAAAATTTAGGTGGCAACATTTTTTCTGTTTTCTATGGACAAACACAATTTGGAGGAAATTTAGGTGGCAACATTTTTTCTCTTTTATCATGGACTTTTGGCTCATTTTTTATTAACTTTTTTACAGGTGATGAACAAACATTAGTAGAAATCTTTCTTTTTAAAGAATGACTTATATTTCCACACTCTTTATCCAAAACTTGTCTATCTACTCCCCTCTTTAAGTCAGAGGTCATTGTATCAGAGTTAGTACTCAAACTTGCATCAAGAACAACATCATAGTGTACACCAGACGTATGTTGAATGTATATTGAACATGTATTTTGGGGTGGAGAACCGCCAAGCATTGACTTAGAAAATTTATTCCATGTAAAATTACTACCAACATTACTATATACATAAGTATCACTACTAAGCAAAGAAGATGCAGCAAAGATTTCAATATCAGATCCCCACACTCTTTCCTGGGCCATTCCAGTAGATTGGATGTAATCATTCAAAGGCATGTTCATATGTGGTCGCAACAGGTTTTCAACGTCTTGCATATGACTCAGTATTTTTTGTCTCACCAAAGAGTGGTAAACTTGTCGCCCAGGAAAAATTCAACAATTTCTAACCTTTAAAAAACTACACGCAAATATCAACGTTAGATGTTAGTAATAAACAAAGACCTTACCTTTATGGAAGTAAAGTTTGGGTTTGAATGTGCTCGAAAGATGTGTATCAAAACCCAAGTGGAATCCGGGGAACGCGAACCAGACAAAAATATTAAGTCCATTGTAAAATAGGAATAAAAACATATTTCTATGCCTACAGCAGCCTATTTAATATTTAACCTTGCACACAAATCAGAATAATTCAGTCAGGCAATTTAGATGATCAACTGCATATCTGTGACTTTGTGTCAAGTTCACATGAGTCACAAGCGTCAAGCGGCATACATGAAACATCACTTGATGCAAAATATGGAAATCAGCAAGAGAAAGCAAACACGAATGGATATAAAAACCTTTTAAAGACATCTATGTAAGACTTCCATGCTTTACAGTAATAACAGCTCAAGCAAAGTCGATAGCACATTTATAGAAGAATATATAGTACACACAGACACACTGAATCTAGCTGCGATCGACTGTGTGCTTTCGGCATTTCATAGATATATAAATTGAGATTGCCAACTTTCCAAACAGGGGTAAACAAATGTAAACGTAACATTATAAACAAAAGACAAAATATCTTACCTTGAATGGTCAAAGTAAACTTGAAAAGCTTAAGAAACTTGATAAAAATTTGAAGATTCCATCCGTCTTTATCGAAAAGCACATGGAACTGAAACATGTTTAAAATTTGTGTTCTGCGCATAGAAAGCACACACACGACCACAATTCCTTGTGCTAAATAAAATTTACTTCAAAGCCCCCTCTCTGCACATATTAGGTTGCTGCTACGCTTGCTCGCTTCAGGCTCGGTCGCTCCGCAGCAATTACCGATTTCTTGAGCAAAATTTCTAGTACAGTCCTCCCTCAGCAAGGCAGTTGCATTATAAAATGAATTGTCAATAAAATCCTCAAGTTCCTTGAGCGTTGAGGTATCAGCAACCGATGCTGTGTCTTTGCTTATAGGTGTGTTAGTTAGGTCATCAAAATAAACCCTTGTGGCCCCAGCTGATTGCTTGTCTATATTGACTTGCCGGGGCGGCCATTTTACTTCAATAGGGCTCACAGATACAGCCTTCATTTTGCAAATATTTATCAACAATTCCCTGAACAAATATCCCTCTTAAACTTGGAATAAAAGCATTTTCTGTTTACCGTAGTACCATGTTATTGTCAAGTCGAAATTGCTGGTCTTAAACTTCTTCGAGTTGCGACTCAGTATTTTTTGTCTCACCAAAGAGTGGTAAACTTGTCGCCCAGGAAAAATTCAACAATTTCTAACCTTTAGAAAACTACATGCAAATATCAACGTTAGATGTTAGTAATAAACAAAGACCTTACCTTTATGGAAGTAAAGTTTGGGTTTGAACACGGTTAATAGAAGAGACTGGTTAGGCTAGCGTTACCACGTGACCAAACATGTTATTCAACCCGATTTTGAAAGGTCACGTGGAGCGGTGCCTGCATGATGTTCACTTCCGGGGTTTGAGACAATACAAAACAATAGAGCGACATACTAAAGTCTGCGTAGAAAAGTTTCATTTTTAAGCGAATACTTATTGGGTCTGTTTGTTTTCTTTGGTGCGATGTAAAGTTAACACTATGCCTGGCGAGAATTGTGCGTTTTTCGGCTGTTCGACAAGCCGAAAACATGGGATTGGGCTCTTCAAGTTGCCTTGTCCTCGGGCTGATGAAAGCGATGAGATTACACGTTTGAAGACGACTGCCAGAGAATCGTGGCTGAATTTAATACTTAGAACTAGGCAGTCAACGCCAGAATTGAAAAAACGGATTGAGAAAAACAACATCTATGTTTGTGAGCGCCATTTCAAGCCTGAATGCATTATAGAATGTAAGTATTTCTGTTGAATTTTATGCGTGTTATTAATTACTATTATTAGAACAAAGGGCTATTCATGAATATTAAAATTGGCTTTTAACAGATCCCAAAAGGAAAATTTTGGTTACTGGTAGCATTCCAGCCATGATGTTACGAGTAAAAAGGAGCGCAGAACTTTGGTGAGAGTTAACGTCGAGGATATGCCATCTAGTTCTACCGCTAGTACTTCGTCTGATCACGCATTGTACAATGTGTTGCCAGCTGAAATAATAAGTATTCAAGATCTTCATACGCAGCTTGCTAAAATTGATATTCTGCCATGGACGGTGAATGATATTGATTCAGATAATGAAACCTTCAAATTAGAATTTTACGATGGAGCCCATGGCATTGCAAAATTCACAGTTATAGTCAAAGCAGGACTATATTTCACTGTCTTTGTTTATCATTATTGGCCTATCCCTGATGACCATCATTATATTTACACTCAGGACAAGAGATTACTCAATAGTATAGAATGCGTTAAGGGACTTCTTAACTCAATTGAGAATTCCAACCTTTGTAATGGAGTGCCAAAAGAATTTGATTCTGTTGCTGTGGATCCTACATGGGATGAAAAGTTAGTGAACTATTCAAACTCCACAGTTATTCGCCATTCAACTCCAAGATTGTTAAGTGAAGACCACTTTCAGTCCACGATAACCCTTCGAAATCCTGACTGTCAAGTTATTATGGACGATGCTAAGCCTGAAAAGGAACTGTGCAATCCATGCTCCCTTACCACCAAGAATTTGAAGAAAGCAGTCTCAAGAAAGAGGAAAGTATCCACAGCTCCAGCAAAACCTAAAGCCCCCCTTTCAGCTTGTGGATCGGCGAAATTGATTGCAACTGTTAAAGCATCAAGACTAGCATGCAAGCAACTGGAAGATCGATTGGAACAGCTCGAAGCCCATATTAAGAAACATGGAGTGGGTGTTAGTGATTCTTTGGAAAAGGATATTCTAAAGATAATGGGCGGGCAGAATTTGGAAGCCACACCCCACTTGAAGTTTTTCTGGGAGCAGCAAATGAAGCTCTTGCAATCAGAGAAAATGGGACGGAGATATCACCCCCAAATAATTCGTTTTGCTTTGTCTTTGCATGGAAAGTCACCAGCTGCATATAATGAATTAAGAGACAGTGGAGCTCTTATTCTCCCAAGAGAACGAGTACTCAGGGACTATAAAAACTATTTTAAACCAAAGGCTGGTATAAATATAGACAATATTGAATCCCTAAGAGAAAAAGCTTCATCATTATCACAAGTTCAACGGTATGTGGTAATAGTGATCGATGAAATGAAAATCCAATCGAATCTTGTTTTTGACAAGTACTCAGGTGACCTGATCGGATTTGTGGATCTCGGAGATCCAGTGACAAATTATGCTAGTCTGGGCGAGGAAGATGTCATGGCAACTCATGCACTAGCATTCTTGGTAAGAGGAATGTGCAGTGACTTCAAGCATGTCATTGCATATTATTTTACCGAGAATATAACCTCCTACCAGTTGATGTCAATCTTCTGGAAAGTGGTTGGTGTGCTTGAGTTGTCGTTAAAGCTTCCAGTATGTGCAACCGTCAACGATGGAGCTTCACCTAACCGCAAGTTCTTCGACCTGCATTTCCAGTTGGTACGCGACCTCAATTGTGATGTGGTACATAAGGTTCCAAACCTTTTTGCTGTACAACGGTTTATCTACTTCTTCGCTGATTCCTGCCATTTGATCAAGACTGCCCGCAATTGCTTGTACAACTCTGGCTCGGGATCCTGCAGTCGTCTTATGTGGAACAATGGCAATTACTTGATGTTCAGGCACATTGCAGACCTATTCTACAGTGATCAAGAGTTTGCTCTGCATACTTTACCAAAGTTATCACTGGACCACATTGTTCTTACTTCATACAGTAAAATGAAGGTATGTTTATGTAACTTTATTTTAGGAAGTTCTAAAAAACCAAGGTTGGATATTTGTTCACCTGACAAGGGGGATGCAAATTTCCCAGGGGATGGTCTGTTCGCCACCATTAGGGGCTTCAGTATGATTGAGAATATTTAGGTCATAAATTTAACAGAAACAGTACTTGCGGTGATCAATGCCATTGTTTTTCTTTCTATAAAGCTTGTAAGTCTTATTTAATGTTGTTTCAAAATCAAAGTCTCTCAAAAATCTAAGTCTCTCAGGGGGGGGGGGAGAAAAATCAGGGGTGTGCACCCCCAGAAAATCCGCTTATAAAAAACCACCTAACTTTTTTTCAGGATGTCAAATATTAGTAAAATCTATTTGCGAATTTCTCTTGTTAACCCATTTAGTGGCAGCACTCTCCCCTGACGAGTAAAATCGTCTGGCATTAGACAGAATGAACTAATAAAGCAGGGTGCATTGCCACTTAAAGGGATAACCCATTAACAAGCAATGCACCCTACTTTGCTCTTTTTCTAATGCTGAAAGATTTTACTTGTCCATAAGAGAATCTTGCCAGTTATTGGGTTAATATATGTTACTGTATGTTGAAAGTCAAGCTGGCTACACAAGTCCTGAGCACGTCTGTGGCAATAGCACTGGAAGAATCCGAGAATGATGAGGTTCTTGGTACTGCCGAATTCTGCAGGATGATCAATGATTTCTTTGATTGTACGAATGTAAGGTCTTTGACCGAGCATGAGAAAAAAAGAAATCCACTCATCAAACCATACTCATCCCAAGATGATGAAAGATTTTCCTGGCTAAAGGATGTTTTTCTCAACTACCTCGAGACATGGAAGCAGAGTACCACCACACGAGAAGGAAACTACTCAACCGACGATAGAGGAAAGATGTTTCTCTCCCTTCAGACTTACAAAGGTTTGAAAATTTCTGTTTTTTTCACATATTGAGGCCATTCAGTTTTTATTATCTGAAGGGTTTCAGTATGTACTAAGTGAGAGATTTATGCAAGATGTCCTAGAAGACTACTTTGGACATCAACAGGCTAAAGGTGGCCGCTCGGACAACCCAACTGCTCAGCAATTCGGCTATAATGATTTGACAATAGCCGCCCAGAGAGACATCGCTCCAGTGTTAAGAGGCAATGTGGGAGGTCGATACAAAAAGCAAAAGTGGAATGTAGTCAGTGATGTACCAGTTAAGAAAAGAAAAAAGGACAAGAAACCAAAATAATTAGCTGCAACACCTGTTAGTTGGACAGTATTTATAGCACATTGATGATTTGACTTTATACAGTAACATTGCATTGGTTAAAATTTGAACATTTGGTTTGAATAGTATCATTTCTGTAAATAGAAAACCCTGGAAAAGTCTCATCAGGTGTATGCATGGAATTCTACAAGGTTTAGTAATCAATCAAACCTACTGTATTCAACCTTCTCATATTAGTCAAGTTTGGAACATATTTAGTGAATCAATCTGAATGTTGAATACACAATTGGATTTATTACTGTACCTTGCAAAACTATTCAAAGTAATTCTGTTCTGAGCATGTAAAATAATTTTTGCATATTATAATTGGGATAAGTAAATGGTAGTAATATATAGCTGCACTGTGAAACTCATTTTCACAGATTTTCATATTTTTCTTGGAGGGGTGGGTGGGGGACAGGGTGCGTAGCACCCTGAGCAAGCTGCGACAGGGCTCTGGAGATGCAGTTGCAAATGGGTGTAGGGGGATAAGCCAGCAGAAAACATATGGTCTCATTTAGTTGAACATCCTTGTTCTTAGCCTTACTTCAAAATCTTTATTTCAATCACACTGCTGTCATTGATCTCAATGAGCACTTAATTTTTCTAGGTGGGGTGGGAAAATGTTTGGGGGGAGTGCAAAATATTTGGGGGAGGGGGGGGGGTGCAAAAAACACCTCATAAAATACCCCATACGAACGTGCTTCAGTGTACTCTTTTTAACCGCAATCCACCCTACTTATTACTTTTTTACTTGTCTAATGCCAGACAATTTTACTTGTGAATGGGGAAGCTCTGCAGCTTAATGGGTTAACCAAATAATCTGACAATGTCTCTAGTTAAACAACAATACACAAATATAATACTGTAGTTGAAAATGATTTCTATTAATACCTCAATATATATAGACCATGATATAGAGTATCTATACCTGTATTGTGTAGAATGTTAAATTATTTTGTTTCTGATGAACGTTTCAAGTCCTTTCTTAAAGCCTTCTTCTTAGTCTGTTTCTCCTTTATTTTATATTTATTTAAGTAGTCTCTTGCATAGGAGAATGAACGGACCTTAACATAAAGTTTTATTGTGTTTTCCAAGCATAATTTCTGGGTAGCACTAGATGGATCTGCCCCAGAGGACAAAACAATGTTCTCCCACAGTGACTTGACCATTGGGTGTTTCAAAGTGGCATTACATATTTCATCAATTGGGATGTTTCTTAAAGTCGACTTTTCCTCACTCACTTGTTGTCGGAATTCATACTCAGCTTGTTCCAAAATTCCAACCAAATCTTTCGATGGATTCACCAGTCCACCCCTGGTGCGAGCTGAGATGTAGCTTGACTGGTCTAGTGATCTCATGCTCTGCAGCAGAGATTGTAGTTCCTCGTTAGACTTTTTGGCCCTTTTACTTGTTTGAAACAGTTTTGCAACTACATATCCAGCAACATAGGTTAAAGGACCACGCTCAGCAGGATTGATTCCACTAATATTGGTCATCTGGGAAGTTGTATCTTCTTCTGAAACCACAGTCAGGGTGGTTTGGCCTTTGTTTTCATGATAGAAACCAACTAGATGGTCTGGTAAATGAATCATAACCAGATTAGCAGCCTTGTAATCTTCACAATCCAGTAATTTACATGACTGAGGCATTAAACCAAAGAATGACTCGAACACTTGGTCTTGGCTACTCTTTCGCCAAAATTTTTCAAAAATTGGATATACAGCATCGTACAAAGCTTTCGTGCAACGGTGCAAGACAAATTCTTTACAAGCTCGTTTATTTCTGTCCCATATAATTTCTCTTTGATAATTGTGCTCTTTATTGTCTCAACCATATGAGCGACTGTTTTCTGACAAAAAGATTCAAGGAGGGAATTCTGAGCGGATGCAAGCGTGTTGTGTTTCGCGTTAGTATGTCTGGTAAGGTCTCCCTTTGACTTGCAAACTTTCTCGCACTGCGAACATGGAAACGACTTCATACCTTCGATTTCAATCAGCGCATCATTGAATTCGTCCTCTATTTCTTCTCCCTCGATTTCTGTTATGTCTATAGTGAGATACAGCTGATATTCATCGGAAAAACACGCCGAGGGATCTTCGAATTGGCTGCCACTAGTACCAGCTTCGTCGAGGTCGGCGACAAGGCCATGTTCACCGCCATGTTCTTCTTCGATTTTGTCATCCTTAGCGGTCGAAATCTCTTCCATTTGATCAAAATAATACAGATCAGCATCGATAGAAATAAAATTTCGAAATGAAGCTCAAAATGATGTAACAAAGTACGACTGAATATCAATCACCCGCTGTTATTGCTATTGTTTCTCCATCAACGCTCCTGACACAATGCAGGCTCCGTTCCACGTGACTTCCGTTTTTGCATTTCCCAAAATAATTTTCGCGTCCCTTTGAAGTTTGCCGGCTAGCCTAACCAGTCTAGTTCTATTAACTGTGGTGCAACTTTGCATATAGAGTTCTACATCCTAACAATACGATTAAAATATGAGGTTAAAAGTACTTGTTTTAGAAAGTGGAGTTTCCCTGGAGTTCCCCTCCTGCCTCTTATCTATTGTATTGTGCTTCTCGATTTCAATTGATTCTCACATTTTGCGATAGAACTTATGACTATGTCAATCGCCAAAATGGTTGCTTTGTCCCATTTTATACGATAGTTGTAAGTCCAAGTATGTTTAGCCACTGACAGCCGATTTATCTTGCTCGGCTCTCTCGCAATTCATCCTATGTTTCTTAATTAAGACCGGTATTGAGAGATTTCGACCAGGTTCACCAATATAAACTGGACCACATTCACAAGGAATGCGGCACACACCAGGTTTCTGAGACTCATTCACGTTGTCATTATATGTGCAAAGATCTCGAAACAATTTGTTTTCACTGATACTTTGGCCTACCAGTCTCTACCGTTTTAAGTATATTTGAGACAGAAAGGATTTCAAAAGTGTCATAATTTCTGATACTTTGGACTATCAGCCTCTGCAGTTTTAAGTATATTTCACATAATAATAGGGGATTTGAAAAGCATCAGAATTTCTGATACTTTGGGCTATCAGTCTCTGCAGTTTTAAGTATATTTGACTTACAGAGGATTTAAGTGTCAGAATTTCTGATACTTTGGACTACCTGTCTCTACAGTTTTAAGTATATTTGAGATAGAGAGGATTTCAAAAGTATCAGAATTTCTGATACCTTGGAGTTTGGACTACCAGCTTCTGCAGTTTTATGTATATTTCACATATACGGGGTTGGAAAAGTATCAGAATTTCTGATACTTTGGAATACCAGTTTCTGCAGTTTTAAGTATTTTTGAGATACAGAGGCAGTGGCGTAACGCAACCGCTGGGGGCGCTCCGTCAATCGGCCACTTTGGGGCCCTTTGCTACACTAAAAATAGGCTCCAAAAATTTTTCTCGGAACAATTTATTTTTGGCGACCTCCCATCCCCCCCCCCGTCGCCAAAAAATTTTCGGACATTGTACCATTCTAGGGGTCCAAAACTTTTTTCCGGACATACCCAATGAAATTGCAATTAATTCATTCTAGTATCTCGTCCTTTACCTCAGCCGCGACGTACTTAATCCGTCGCAGCTTCGGGAAATTTCTCGACGGATTTTGCCTTTTCCAGACGGAATGGGTTTTTTTTATTCAATTCAATTCAATTAATTCAATTCCCCAGAAATGTGCTATCAAATTTTTTAAGGTCATTTTTGTTGGGGCCCCCTAAAGTTCGGGGGCCCCCCGTCTCTGGACACCCTGACACCCTCCCGTTACGCCACTGTACAGAGGATTTTAAAAGTATCAGAATTTCTGATACTTTGGAATACCAGTTTCTGCAGTTTCAAGTATATTCCACATATAAGGGATTTGGAAAGTATCAGAAATTCTGATACTTTGGACTACCGGTCTGCAATTTTAAGTATATTTGACATAGAGTACCAAGGAGTTCAAATGTATCAGAATTTCTGATACTTTGGACTACCAGTCTGCAATTTTAAGTATTTTTGAGATAGACAGGATTTCAAAAGCATCAGAATTTTTGATACTTTGTAATACCAGTTTCTGCAGTTGTAAGTATATATCACATATAAGAGATTTGAAAAGTATGAGAATTCCTGATACTTTGGACTCCAGCCTGCAATTTTAAGTATATTTGAGATAGGGCTGATTTCAAAAGTATGAGAATTTCTGATACTTTGGACTACCAGTCTGCAATTTTAAGTATATTTGAGATGTAGAGGATTTCAAAAGTATCAGAATTTCTGATACTTTGGACTACGAGTTTTAAGTATATTTCACATATAAGGGATTTGAAAAGTATCAGAATTTCTGATACTTTGAACTACCAGTCTGCAATTTTAAGCATATTTGATATAGAGAGGATTTCAAAAGTATCAGAATTTCTGATACTTTGGACTACGAGTTTCTGCAGTTTTAAGTATTATTATTAATAAGCTTTATTTGCATGACCTAATTACAGGTATTGCTAAGCGTAATAGTATGTATATATAAATGTTAACTGGTGTATAAACTACTTTAACTAACTAAAAACAATATACCGCTATTTACATGTATAATAAATCAAATATGAAGGATATCATCATATGACAGAACAAATATCAAAATTTAAGAAAGGATTAGAAAGAAGATAATATAAAAAAGGGAAAGGAAAGTTATATAATATATAGAAACTTGTGACTTCTGGTTTAAGGGTTGTTGTCTCTGATATAAAAACATTTCGAAATATGTTCCGAAAATAGATCTGTTATCACAGGGTCATTCAAAGACATAAGATCACTTAATAATAGTATATTTGACATACAATGCAGAGGATTTCAAAAGTATCAGAATTTCTGATACTTTGGACTACGAGTTTCTGCAGTTTTAAGTATATTTCACATATAAGGGACTTGAAAAGTATCAGAATTTCTGATATTTTGGACTACTGGTCTGCAATTTTAAGTATATTTGACACACATTACAGAGGATTTCATAAGTATCAGAATTTCTGATACTTTGGACTACCAGTCTGCAGTTTTAAAAATATTTCACATATAAGGGATTTGAAAAGTATCAGAAGTTCTGATACTTTGGACTACCGGTCAGCAATTTTAAGTATATTTGACATACAGTACAGAGGATTTCAAAAGTATCAGAATTTCTGATACTTTGGACTACCAGTTTGCAATTTTAAGTATATTTGAGATAGAGAGAATCAAAAGTATCAGAATTGCTGATACTTTGGATTACCAGTTTCTGCAGTTTTAAGTATATTTGAGATACAGAGGATTTCAAAAGTATCAGAATTTCTGATACTTTGAACTAGCAGTCTCTGCACTTTTAAGTATATTTGAGATACAGACGATTTCAAAAGTATCAGAATTTCTGATACTTTGGACTACCAGTCTCTGCAGTTTTAACTTTTAAATATATTCGAGGTATACAGGGTTTCAGAAATCGTTGATATTTTCGGAAATTGTATATTTTAATTGGAACATCTCATTGTCTTTAAAATTTTATGCTGCTTGATAAGGTGCATCTATATTTTCGCATTTCCCAGATAATGTATTGTAATTTGCTTATTCGTAATTCTTGGTAGTCCGTAACCTCCATTTTTGCAGAAAAAATTCAAGGTCAGCAAGATTTTTTGAAAACTATTGTTTATGTTGACGAGTTTTTCTATGGAAACAGTTTTCGCGCTTTAAGCGTGATATTGCATCATGCTTTTTTCTCAAATATCAATTTTTTCGACTTATTTTACAGATAGTACAAAGCCATTCAAACATTTTTAAAACGTTTTTTTATATTTTGCGGAAAATTAGCACAAAATCTGCAAAATGAGAGGAAAATAGCCAAAAAAATGAATTTTGGAAAATGCAAACTTTAAGATAGTTTGGAACGCGTTTCGGTTGTAAATATTCGCAGAAATATAAAATTATAACCAAAAGAGTCAAATTGCAGCATGTCGAGAAAAGTTAATTAAATACAGAAATTGAAAATCATGTCAATAGTTATGTTCTAAACTTATGAAAATTCTACATGACTGAAATTGAAAGGATTGCTCGTCAATTTCCTTTTTAAAAGCATGTTTAATTTAAACTAGAAAATTCAAAAGAGCTATTCCACAGAAATGGAATAGGATATAGTGAAAGGGTCAATGCTGCGTATAATTATTGACAATCTCTAAGTAGCAGCCGTTGGGTTTGAATAAAATTTACGCATGTATAAATATCCAATTTTTATAATGATCATGCATGTTTTATGAAGGAAAATTTATGTTAATTGGCATTCATTTATTTGTAAAGAAAACGTATACTGAGCAACTTTTAAGTTAATGTTTGGCATCTATCATTATTCACATGCAGTAGAAATCTAAATGTCCTTATATAATAAATTCGTTCTTCTTCCAAACTTCTGAACAAACTGAAATTGTTGAAATTCTAAAATCTCTTCGCTCGGAAACTGCTGCGGGCCACGATAAAATACCTATGTGGTCCATAAAAGAGTCCATAGAATTTATTGCAAAACCGCTGACTCATATAATTAATTTATCTATAGAGTCGGGTGTTGTCCCACACCAAATGAAGATTGCCCGTCTTATACCAATATTTAAGTCAGGCACAGATAACCTATTCCAAAACTACAGGCCTGTTTCGGTTTTACCGATATTTTCAAAATTATTGGAGAGAGTTGTGTATAATCGGCTAATCAAGTATATCGATAAGCATGGCATATTATTTGCTAACCAATATGGTTTTAGGAAAACTAAATCTACTTCATTAGCTTTACTTGATTTAATAGACAAGATAACATCAGCAATTGATAAAAAAGAATATGCAGTGTGGATTTTTTTAGACCTGTCAAAGGCATTTGATACTATAAATCATGAAATTCTCTTCGAAAAACTCAATCATTATGGAATTCGTGGCCTGGCACTTAATTGGCTAAGAAATTATTTTTCAAACAGACAACAATATGTTGAATGCAATGGGGTAACGTCCTCGTTTAATACTATAAGATGTGGAGTACCTCAAGGGTCTGTGCTTGGGCCATTACTATTTCTGATATATATTAATGATATTTGCAATGTCTCAGA